TTGGTCTGACTTTGGACTTAATAGGAATATGTATTGATATATATCTGTAGCATAAATCAATTTCTGCAGAATTTGGAACCTCTTATTTCAAAACTAAGATTTCTTTTTAACTGGAAATCTTTATTTAATTTTGTGTGACTCATTTGGTACTTTTATACAGGTATCCTGGTACATTCTTATAACGAATTTATACAGGTATACTCTTATAACAGGGTTTCGCTTTTACACGTTAAGAAAATTGCGGGAACCCTCGTACAGCATGACAACACAGTTCCATTCTATCGCGTTAGTGAATACTCGTAAAATTTCTTGCAATACTTTATGGATGTTCACGTTCCAATAAAGGATTTTTATTCTAAATATTTACAAAATTAAGTTACATACTCTGCCATCGTATGTAGCCCGCATTCCGGAAATAACCGTATGCAACTCTCATGTCGAAATTCTTTCGAAGCTGAATCGTGGCTATCATTTACGCAGTATGTACTTTGTGCTCTGAGTATTCGATTTGTAGATTGCATAAGTTAGGTAATAAAATTACGTATATGATTTTGAAGAATATTGAAAAAAAGGTATGTGTTAGTAATTAGCTTTGACAATTTTAGGAATTATTATTGGGGAAATTATATTTCAGCTCCAAACACTGTCTGAAAATAATTATCAAAATAATTTTAATCCTTTGGAGATGAAAATATAAATTTTGAACCGTTTGTTGAAGGGTGAAAAAAGCATCTGACGGTGTAAAAACTCTAAGCTTAAATGAGAAAACAATAAAAAAATTGTTTTTAAAAGTTTTCAAAACGCATCTCTCTATTTTTATATTGGTTGATAGTCTCGCATAACACGGTTTCACACAAGACGGCATTTTCAAAAAGCCTATCTATTGTGTTGTAGGAGCGATACCTTCGTTTCACTTCTTGCCTGTCCTATTGTCATAAAATTTTCTGGGTCTTAGTTTGAATTTTAAAAGGTAAAAATATAATTTTTATGCGAAAAAAATGCTTGAATGAAAGCTTGATTTACGCTTGAGGTAAAATTTTGGCATCGTTCAGCTAGTTTCATTTTTGCAAAAAAAAGCAACGTAAAAAAATGCCCTCGCCCAACAGTTCGCATTTCAAAATTAGTCAAAAATTCTTCTTTAGATTAATGTCGGTTTCATAGGAAATTATGCATTTCGAAATACAAGAACCTATTTCTTTCTTTTCCTTTCTAATATTCTATGTGTCATAAAAAAAAGACCAGAGTTAAGAACAAAATTACCAAAGTTTATCTATAAACATGCTTGCTGTTCGAGAACATCGCGGAGAAGATACATATACATTTGTCGTGCCCTTGAACGAGCGTTCCGTTCTCCTCTTCAGAGAACGATGTCTTCAGTGATGTGAGATGGGTCTGAACGTTGTCTTGAAGCTCTGCATTTTTCTGGAGTCTTTAACCGCCCATCAATTCAAGGCAATCAGTTACTAATGAATCTGCTGTAACCCAACAGCCGTAAATAAGATGTGTTTGACAACCCGACTTAGCTCCAAGTAATTTTCATCTTTTCTCTGAATGGGAGAACTGGCTAGGAGGCCACAGATTCCATTTGAATGAGAAGCTTCAAAGCAACGTTTAGGCCCATTTCGTCACGAGCGCCACTGTTCTTCGAAAAGGGAATTGGGAAGCTCGTCCATTGGTATAACAAATTCCTTGATCTTCACGGCGATTAGTTGAAAATAAATCGAAATAAAAAGTAATGTAGGCTTACTATATATTTTCGTTGTCCAACACAGGACATATTTTTGAAATTACTAAAATTTTAACAGTTTAATTATTTATTCAGTTGTATTTCTCACTAGACATGACTTTTTGCAGAAATGGTTTGTTTGTTTTAATTATATCATAAAATTCACAATAGAAAAGTTTTGAATTCAGCAGATGTTTAACAGTAGATACTGAAAGTCTACCCCTTTCTGCAGGCCAAACGTTCCCATAATTGAAAAATCTCTCTCAGCTGGAGCAGATGTCCCAGGCAAAGACATCGCAAACCCACTTATTTTAGAAACATTCCAGCGAGAAATATCAGTCTTTCGAAACACCTTAAAATTGATTTCTACTTCTCCTCAATAGTATCTGGCACTTTTTCATAATTTTATAATAATGAAGGAGTAGAGAATCACACGCTGTTTTTACTATGTATAATGGGGCTGAACACTTATTTTCTTTTGCCCATTGCTAAACGATGAGACGAAAAACAAACAGAGACAAAAATGAGCAAAAACATTTAGCCAAGTTACTTCAGATAAAAAGTTGTGGCGCCTGAATCTGTAGTAAGAAATAATTCAAAATCGACGTCAGAGCTTGCTCTAAGGTCGGCTGAGAGATGCACGGCCGTAAAAGAATACTGAATACACGATGTTGAACATGTGGGTCTAAAATTTTAAAAAGTTCTTGCCTCGCTAGACATAAAATTTTCAAACCCCAGATATTTTTGCGATCCCAGACATTATTTCAGAAAGCACTAAAAACCAAGACTATCTGGATTACGCTTCGTTTTTTTTTTATTTTTATTTTTATTTTTATTATTTTTTTTATGGTATATCGGAGGTTGAAGAAAGACATCCGATGTAGTTACCACATGACTTCCTTGTACGACCTAATAAATTCTACACATTTTTTGCTCAGCTTCATTTAAATTTATTTTCTCGAATTATTCTAGCTTAGTTATCGGATCTCTCAAGGCAAGTAAAAAATGACAGCAGAAATTTCAAATTTTGAAATTTAATATCTCAGTTCATTTTGTAATATGGGAGTAAAATTTCTGATTTTATTTTTTCATAACTAGTATAAAACTGTCTCAGATATAAGTATCGGTACCGCGAGACCATATTAAAAGTTAGATTTCGTTGTTTGTCGAAAATTAAACATTTTAAAATTTGCTACTACAAAAGCATTAGTACTTTCGTCATTTAAAAAACTTTTGTAATTGTATATGGCTATTATAAGTATATGGCTACGACCGATGACTGCGAAATAAAGGCCGGGTAAGGAATTTTAAGAGCCATGTAAGGGGTGTTTTGCCGATTGCAATAGAAAAGGCAGATGCGCAACTAGGTGTCCTATATACAAAATTTCAACGTCCTGCTGCTAATCGTTTTTCAGTTTTGAGATAGATACATCATACATACATACGTACATATGTAAATACAGACGCCATAAAAATATACATTTGGAATTCACTTTACATCCATTTTGAAAAAAGATGTTCTTTATTCTGTCCGTATGTACAGGTGAAGGAGGGCGGGGAATCCTGGCCTCTAACAGAGGTAAGCAAATACACGTCCCATGTTTTCCTCTGGCTAGAAGGAACAACTCCCTGGAGCTCCATTGGAACACCCTTCGGGAGTTCAGACAAATACATTTTTTTTTTTTTAGCTTTATGGCGGGCACTTGCCTATTCAGCACTGGCCACTCCTCAGGCCAGAAGTGGTGGCCATTCTATTGTGGAGGCATCTAATGGGTGACTACCATTGTTTCATACGAAGGGACAGACATTCACAACCATGCCTCTCCGGGATTCGAACCCGGACCCTTCGGTACCGTAGTAGGCTCCTCTAACTACTATATCGTCTGGGCGGCTTAGATGAATATAAATATGTGCTTATATTCGCCGTTCATTGTAAGTTGTATATCGCACTATATGTTGCACTAAGTGTTTAGATTATGCACGGAATGCGTTGCAGCTATGCAGTGGGAATAGCTCAGTGAGTGAACGCCTTACATGATCTGGCAGATGTCCTGTTTCAGGGCTGCAATCGTGATGATAGTCTGACATATCTTATTCACAGTCACATGATTTTATATAATAAAGCGTCTATGTGTCAACATTACTGAAGCACTAACATAGGCGAATGGCGTTGGTAGGATGGCATTGATAGATGTAGTGGTCTGCGGAGGGCTCCACAGACACACGTTGCAGTTTCTGAAAGGAAAAGCAGAGGGAATAAATAGGAAACGATCCGTGGCTCGTGACAAAATTGGTTATTTGTGGTATAGACATGTGTCTTTAAAAGTTGACTTTCGGGAAGAAATGTACGTCCCCCCGGTATCATCTAAATACCGTTCCTGTTCCAATTTCAGGGTGGCTTTTTGAAGCAGCTAGTATTTTATTGTTTAAAGTTTCTATGTAGTTTTTTGTACCTAGGTTAAGGTTAAGAGCACGTTCGTTATTAGAAACCTTTCTATGAAGTAAGTAGACTACAAAAATAGTTGATTTTTGTTCTGCATAAGCTAGAGAAACTAAATTTGAGTTTTTTCCTTAAACAGAGCAATCTGTTTAAAGAATTTTAAACAACTGCCGTTTTAGTACTTACGTATTATCCCATCGACCGTGAATTTTGGCTACCATCGGACCATGAAAATTAGAGGGCATCCCGTCGAAACTGTGATAAACGTTCCTTTGGAATTCTAAAGGAACTAGCGCTTCTTTATTTAATAAACGATTAGTATTCGACCATCTTCTTTTTGCGCCTCGTAAAATGGCTTTTGCCGATTTATACTATTTTGTTAGGCCTTCTGATTTTACCAAAAGCTTTGTTTAGAGCGCTATGAGTAAAATCTTCCGCATATAATTGTTCCAATTTATGATTGTTTTGTCGATTATATTCTGCTGGCCATATCGTGTTCAATAATACAACGTTTTTTTTTTTGATACTAGGATCGTATAACATTGAAAATAATCCACTGCTTGCTCTTCTGTAGAAGACATATTCCAAATTTCAATCTTCTTTTTTCATAATACAATAAGAAGTACAGCAATGATAGTTAATTTATATGCTCGGTCTTATCGAAAGTCAATAGAGGTTATATCAAGCAAAAGCAAGATGTTATGAGGATGTTTTTACGCCCCGCTTATTCATAATCGGTGCTAAATCGTGTTGCTCGGGGACAGTTCAATGGTCGACGACGTAATACGTAAGTACCAATGTGTCCCCTCGCCTTCCTGACAAACATTATCTTACCTGTCTAGGAGGTACTTTGTAGTACTCTTCTTTCGTTGTCTCATCGCATGTTGTTTGAGTAGTTGCAGGCAACAACCATTCAGCGATTTCCTCTAATTCTTTTTGGTATTTTCCACCTTCTTGCTTGCTATGGAACGAAAGGACATGGTGTATTGTAGTGGCTAGCGATTGAAGAAGTGCCAGACTCTCTTTGCAGTACATCAGAATTTCACCTTTTCCGGTAGAACTGTCACTGAAAATACATTTCAATTTACAGTCAACTGTAAAATGTATTTAGTTTTATAGAATAATTAGCCGCTTACGCAACCAGCCGCCAAAATAATTATAATAAAAAAGGAAACTATGTAACGGTTTTACTGAGTCCAGCTAGTGTCACTTCATAAAAATATTTAATATTCTGATCAGGCATGTAGAGATTTAAATGCATTTTAATTTTTATCTATCTGCTTACAAAGCGAAAAAAATTATTCTTGGGAACTGCGTTGATTGCTTTTCAATTGCTTGGTTTGTTAATCTGTAGCAGACAGATTAAATCTAAAATTCAAGTACCGTACGCTTTACTGAATGGCAACATGCTGACGCGTGGAAGATCAAAATATTTTATTTTAGGCAGTGTAATGTTTTTAATGATTCTGTTTCAACTTCACATCAAAGGAATATTAGTCATCAAAGCAGTTATGGTTTATTATTGTATGTTATTCTACATAGGATCAGGATGTGCAGCGCAGGAGCTTTCTATTACTCGCTCACCACAGTAGAAAAGTGAAGGATTGAAAGGCAAATACATTTTTCTGGATAGCAACATTCTGGCGTGCTGGAGATAAACGAGTTTCATTCTGAACAGTGTTACCATAATTCGCTCTTAAATCAACGAATTTGTTGATAAAAAAATTCTTTAAATTGATATACTAAAATTGGAAATATTAAAAAAAGCAAATCCGAAATTCAAAATTCGAGCCTCGAATTCTATAGCCACATGTTCGAATAAAGGATTACATATATACATAGCTGGCTCTAAAAACCGTATTTTCTTCATCCTCTCCCCCGTATGTGTGACGAACATACATGCATACACACATATATGCATACAGATTCTTTATTCTTTAAAAATAGAGATTATTTAAAAAAGCGGATTCTATTTATCACTGTATTTTTGCATTTATAATATATTCGCTACATTTTAATTTTTTTAGTTTAGACCTCCTTATAAATTTTATATTTACTTAAATTCAAATAAACAAATTCTTACGTTTTTATTTAAATGAAAATCAACTGAATTTGTTACAGAACTTCATAAAAATATTTAATATGATAAATAAAATACCCTTTCTATAAATAAAAACCTTGAACCCTTTCTAACGTTAATGAACCTACGTAACCGTTATAAAAGGTGCTCGAACAGATTTATTCCAGTGTCTCTAGAATGCCCATCATATCAAGAACATCTTTTGTGACCCAAATCGTGGATATTCAGATTGCTAATTTACGTTAGGTTACAGTCTGAAAGGTGGTTTCATACAATCTACCTTTGAGGAACTTCACGAGTGAAAATTTCATATCGACATGACCTTACAAGGAGGCACAATTGTTCTTTTATGAAAATATCAGAAATTGATATCAGGGATAGTCGAAATACACGCTGTCTTGTTGGAATAATGTTCTTGCATTCTTGAAGACTATTCTTCATAGAATTGATCGAAGATGCCTATGTATACGAATGTATTTATCACCCCCCCCCAAACAAGACATTGACCTCACATGCACTCGAATGCAAAATTAAGAGAATTTGCAAATTATGTTTATTTTTTCGAAAACGTATTGAACCAAGGGTATTTATTATGGGTCGAAATATTTCGCAAAAATTCAGAGTCGAGTAGGTGGGTGTGCACATCCGGGTCAGCGGAGCTGTGATCGGGATATAAGACCAAGAGGGATTTGTGTTCGTACTCCTTCACGACATTTGCCGTGTTTATCGCAAACGTTGACTAAACTTTGCAGGGTGTCAGGTAAAACGAGTAACCACGATCGTACGGATAACGGAATGAAATGGAGAATTTTTGGAAGGTAGACCATCACAAGCCTAGAATTTCTCGAAACAGTATTCAGGGCACTGGATCAATATTGAAAAGACATGGACTAGGTCGACCAAGATCCACTACGGCGAATGAGGATCGTTATTTGACACATTTAATGCGGCGACTAATACAGTTTCACAGCTCCCACGTGAGCTATATGATACCACTGGAGCTCGAGTTTCACGATCTACAGTTGCCCTAAATCTTCGAGAGATACTATTGTATGCCAGAAGACCCGCTATTTGCGTTCTGCTCACTGCAGCACACAAGACAGTGTGTTTAGCATGGTATAGACAACATACGCTTTGCACCAAACTTCAGAGGAGCACTGTGCTTTTTACAGACAAGTCAAAATTCAGCCTGGACATGTATTCCCGCGTACTTGTATCTGAGGAGAGCTTGAAACACGGTACCATCACTCTCTGATCAAGGAAAACGATCATTAATTACCATTGTTGGTGTGCAGTGGATTGGACAGGCATCATGTTGGACTACCGCATACCCGTGCATGTATTTGACAAAGACTCTCTAGCTACCACGAAGTAAAGAGAGAAGGTCCTAGAGCCTTATATTCGACTTTTCAAGGACGCGGTTGGTCCTGAATTCCTGTTTTATTGGATGATAACTCTTGTTCACATAGGGCTCAGCTGGTCTACAGTTACCTGGAAAGTAAGAATATTCGCCGCATGAATTTTCCAACCGTATCACCTGACATCAGACTTATACAGCATATCTAGGACAAGAGGGAGGTCAACTTCATCTTGTCATTCTCCTCCGAGAACCATCCCATAGTTGAAGACTGCTTTGTTGCAGGTGTGGGATCGACTGCTACAAGTATTCCTCAGCTGCCTTCTGTCTAGTATTCCGACACGCTGTGTGACCTGTCTGGCTATGAAAGAGGACCATACTCCATATTAGACTCATTTTCAATTCGATATCACAGCGGGGAATTTGGTCATCCCAGCACAATGACCTTTACTGATAATCACGTATGATCAATGACTTTTGAAAAGCGCATCTCTTTCTCTGTTATAAATGTATATCCATATCAAATTTCATTGAAATCTGTCTTATTCTATTTTTTCGGAAATTTGACATAATATGCAAATTTTCTAAATTTTTTAGAGATGCTAAGGAAAAAAGAAGTAGCGTAATATTCATAAATTTCAGGACTAGTTTCGAAGGTTTGAATACATAATCTGCAAAAGTGCAAATGACGAAAGAAACGTCTGTGCTAAAGCAATACCGATGACATAAAGAAAGTCTAGCTCCTGGAGTCATCTACTAGTGAAAAGGGAAAAAACAATGAAGTAATTTTCATCTCACCTGCAAGTGGTCATCGCAAGAACTTTATGTACGTCTTCTATTTTGGATTGAGGCATCAACTGGAACTTGTCAACTGTGTTAAGGTACCACTCTTGAATAACATATCCCTGCTGAGGATGAATCAGTATCAGTTTCTTGGGGGTGATAGTGAGGTAGCCATAAGTCCCGAGAAGTCCGGCGTGGAATGCAAACTCGTTGTCGATCATCGACACTTCGAATTCATTTCCATACAACACTGAAAAAAAATTAAGTTGTTATTTGACTCTCGAAATCTCTAAATTAATTGCAAAATTAATGATATGAGATTGAAGTTATTTATGTATCAGATATGATCAGAAAACTCAGTGAAGAAATGTTGTGCCAGTGACCGATTTTTATCTTCCATGTGCTAGTGAGTTGCTTGTTGACAAAGCATAATTTTTTTTATTTTCCTTTCGAATTTAATTTCTTTGTTATTAATTAACAAACCAAGCGACATAAAAGCAACAATCTCAGTTCTTCATTCCGTAGGATGAAACTGTGGAGTACCAAAGAAACACTGACTTCAAGGGAAGTTTCTTGTGTAGTTTAAAAAAAAACACAACAAAAACTGATAATTAAAATTATCAGTAAAATATTTATTATGAGCATGTAATTTTAACGAGCTCGACTCTTTGAAATCGTTAGATATTTTGTTCTTTTTCATAATAACTATTTTAGACGGCTAAGTCTAAGAAATATTTATCATTTTTACATGATTTAAGAATACTCTGATGAACCTGCCACCCATACATGGACTTATGGTGTGACTTGCCCGACGTGGCCAATCTGCATAAATGTTTGTAAGTTAACCCTTCTGCAATTTAGCTATCGTTCATCAAAATATTAGACACTCTTTATGAAGCTCATTTTAACGCCACGAAAAATTCAACTTCATCAAGATTCCGAGACCTTTCCTTTTGAAATCTAAGTAAATGGTCGCCGATTTTAGTAAAAATGCCGACACCTTTTTTGAGTTAACCATTATTGATTAAGACATAAGGAGTACTGGCACCGTTGATGAAGTTTAGTTTTACGATGAAGAATGCAACTTTCATTAAAATTATGAGAGACCTTGTGAGGGTCTAAATGAATAGTTATAGATTTTAGAAGAAACACAGTCCCTCTTAGGAATTTTAGTTTATACCATGAAGAATGCAACCTTCGTGAAGAAAGCGGGACGCTTTTGCAAAGATTTGGCGTCAATAGTTTTCTACTTCAACGAAGATACCAATACCTTTTGCAAGTTATTAATTATTCATCAAGATTTAAAAAGTGTTGGGAACTCTTAAGTTCTCTTTATGAAGGATGCAGTCTTCATCAAGAGGCTGGGACGTGAAGTTTTTTTTTATTTCAGTTAATATTTACCAGTATGCATAAAAGTGCCCTCACCCTCATTAAGTTCACGACTTCGATAAAGCAACTTTGATAAAAGTGCCGAGATCATTTATGATGGTTTATGCCTCGGCATCTCCATCATAAGCATGCAGACATCTTTAAACAAATGAACGAGGTTTGCCAAGGATGTCGTCACACAAAGCTGCCAGCATTGTTATAAACCCTCTACTATTAAGTTCACTTTAAGCAACTTTCATCTAGGTGCTGGTACCTTTGTATCAGGACACCTTTATTATAAGTGTTGGGGAAACCCCTCATAAGGATACCGCCACCTTTATCAAGTTCAATTTATAACTTGGAAAAAGTAAATTTCGTGTAAGTGCCGGCATTTATATGATGGCTTCTATTTTATCAAATAGTTACTGGCTTGCATAAAGGTGCCCATACCCTTATGAAGTTCAGTTTGGAACCTGTAGAAAGTAGCTTTGATCAAAGTGCTGCGATCATTTATGATGGTTTCTGTCTCGGCGAAATCTACATCGTAAAGTGCCAGAACCTTTCTGCAGTGGATTTCTATAAACCAAGGTTGTCCTGGCATAAATGTGTCGCACTTTTATGAAAGCTGGTACAAGTTCTGTTTACGACTAAAGGAAGCAACTTTTGTCGAGGTGCTGGTACTAAGAACGTCTTTATTATGAATCTTGCCGAAGATACCGGCACCATTATGAAACACAGTTCATAACTTAAAGAAAGCACCTTTATATTTCTTGTCGAGGTGCCAGCCCTTTTCTGGTACAGGTAGAAGTGGGCTGGTGTCCCACCCACGTCTCCTTGTAACTGTACCCACATGTAGAAATTTTAAGAGTGCTATGTTCATAAAAACTTACTTTTCTCAAGTTGAACAACTGGACTTGGTGGCCAGAAGATCGCCCTTATGGCAGCCATCCATTCTTGACTCATTGATTCGCTGTCGCCAGCCAAGTGAATAACTGCTTTGCTGTCGTCAGAAACAGTGAAGGCGTAAGGATGTGTTCTGGAATTACTTCTGTACACCACAGCTTTCTGGCAGGAGACCGATTTCCAGAAAATGGCGCCATGTTTACCACTGTCTGCACTGTATACGCTTATCATAAGAGACGGATATTTGGGATCGTTAACAAACTCATCGAGTTGGATGGCCACACAACGTTTCTTCCACACCTAAAAATCAATCACTGTTTTCATTTATCATACAATTAAACATCATTTTTCTGTAACGTATTATTTGCATTGAATTTTTTATTCTTGTAAGACTTGCATAATAGTAATTAAATTAGTAAGCCCTCGAATCCCTAACGAATCGAATAAGTAAAAGCAGGAAATTTGCTGCGGTATGGACTCAGAGCTCTAAATAATAACTAAAGTAACAACAAATAATGATTAAAATAGGCCGCACCTACCTTAAATCTCATACATCTCATAATTTTGTTAAGTGCATAAGGGTTCGTAATGAATTGAATGCGCACAGAACTGATTATTTCTTGATGAAATTTATTTTTCCAGAAACATTTTATAGTTCTAGAACTTTTCACGCAAAATTACTTGTACAGCCCTTCACAGTATGACAGAGCACAATAAATAGTTACACTCCAAATTACTAAGAACGTTAACATTTCATGGTCAAGCATTACACGTTACATTATGCAAAAAAATACAATTTCACATTTAATTTTACTAAAACTATTTACATCTATTCAAAATTCGTGAGACTGTCTCTTTCCCAAGGACTGCACGTCCCAAGCAGTACAATCCCTGGGTAAGAAGCTATATTTACAACTAAGGAAAATAAACACAATACTAAAACAAGAATTTCAGTAAACTTCATAAAACAAATCAATTAATAAATGCATAAATTTACAAATTTATGTACAAATGCAACCATGACTTTAGTATATTATTTACGTTATATACGTTAGTGTTATTTACACTAGGGGATTATGTACATGGCCATACTAAGTGGCTAGCCTATCTTAATGAACGACTTTAGGCTTAGAATTTGATGACTTATGGATCCGAACTTCAGCTTCATTCAGCCTGTTTAGGACTGTGTGAGGGTCATCCCAAGGTGACTGTAGTTTAGGACAGAGTCCTTTCCCTTGAAGCGGATTCCACAACCACACCTTGTCTCCTTCGTTGAATCGATGTCCTGCTCGTGTCGTGTATCGGGTCTTCATCTTTTCCGTCGCCAAGTTGATTCTCTCTCTAGCAAAACTGTGCGTCATTTAAAACCGTGCATGGAGATTCTGAATGTACTCCTCAGGCGATGAAAGGCTCATACGGAGAGCGATCAAACAACAGATCACAAAGCAAAGGTCACGACAAAAGAGCATCTGAGAGGGGGAATAGCGAATAGATTCGTGGACAGCACTGCGATAGACCGGTAAGAACAGAGGTAACTTTTGGTCGTAGTCCTGTTGGTTTCTGGAAACCGCCGAAGAGAGATTATTAAGAATGTCTCGATTAAATGTCTCCCATCAGTCTGACTACGATTATAAAGTTGTCGTTTGGGTTTTGTCTGTGCCAAATAGTTTATAGACTTATTTTAATTACAGCCCATGTGAAATTCCTTCTTTCATCGGACTGTAACTGATGAGGCACTCCAAACCTAGAAATCCAAAGCTATATCATTGCTTTGCTATCGTGACCGAAATCCAGGGCTCTGTTACCGTTACAGCCTCTTAATCAGGGATAGGATACGCTTCAGGCCATTTTGTGAAGTAATCAACGAGAAAGAGGTGTATTCGTAGCCATCAACGGTTCAAGGTCAATTTTCTTAGCGACACAAGAAAAACCTCGGTCATCAATTTTTTGTTCGACAGTATAAACTCTTTCTTCGGTTTGTTGTTGGACACCAGACAATCTTTCTTCGATTTGTTGCTCGATAGCAGAAAATTTTTCTCTTCACTTTTTCCAACTCTACCTTCAACCGTGTCTATTTTACCTTCCATAGCCTCAAATTTATTTTCTATTATGGCAGAAAGTTTTCTTTTCATTTCCTCTTGATCTGTTTCAATCATTTCTTGGCCCGCTTTAATCTCTCCTTTAATGTTGAGAGTCCCTTCCATCATTTTTTGGCTCGCTTTCATCTATGCTTTGAATGCAGCAAAGGCTGCCACCTATTGTCTTAATTGCTTCTCCATCGCTCTTGTCACCGGCATTCAGTCCCACTTCTGATACCAAAAATTGTTGCGTGCGTACGAATTCGTAATGGATTGAATGCAAACAGAACCGGTGATAGCTTTATAAGATTTATTTTCACCCAAAAATCACTTTACAGTTCTGAAACTTTGCACATAAATACTCATACAGCTCTTCTCAGTATCACAATAGTACAATCCGTAATTACACTTCAAATTACTAAGTACGTTAAACATAATGCAATGAAAAGCTCATTTAAAATGCAAAGCTCCTATGGAGATCTCTGAGTGCTCTAAATTCACGCTGGACTACACAATTCAGAAATTATGCTCAAAACCATATCAAAATTTCGTATCGACAGAAAAATTTTTAATATGCTTTCTCCGGTCTTATACAGCTTTCACTCGGCCTCCGAGACATCTATAGTACTTCCATGTCTTGAAATTACAGTAAACGTATGCAGTAATATACAGTAAAAGTTACATCTAAGGGCCGGATACGGTTACAGCAACATATAGGGATCAAATACTATTCAGTTACAGTATCAATTAGTTATACAAGGACGGGATCGACTTGTCACCAAATGGTCACCAAGTTTGGCCACTTTTGGCGATTAATCTTCAAATTTGGCGACAAAAGTAGGCGCCAAAAATAATCTCCAGCTTGGCGATATCTCACCAATTCAGCGAGATAGCCATTTACTCAGTGTTAAGTGGACTTGCTCCTGTGCTCTTGCTTTCTCGGCAGAGCTTCCCTTATTTAGATTTTCCTGTTACATTATACAAAAAATACTAGAATTTCACTAAAATTATTTACATATAAACGAAATTTGTAACAATGGGGGGAGTATGTTCTTTCATATACCACTTTCATCCCAAATATAAATAGTATAGAGAATGTAAAAACGTATGACAATAATTAATACTCTGTGGACATGAATATTGATCAGCTGATGCACCCTTGGCACATAAACTACACTGGTAAAATAAATTAAGAGAATTTGCATATTTTATCGAATTGCGTGAAAAGAACTGAACTGAAGTAAAACAAACTGCTTCTAGATAAAAATGTAAATCTTGTACAGCAAATACGTAAGCTACACGTATGTGTAGGCGGAGCCAGCAGAAAAACAGGCTTTATAAGCGCGTGGAGGGTAAGACGAATTGCGTTCGGTAGCAAACCTCAGAGAATTTCTTGGTGTTATCTTGCAGCAATCGGTTAAATTCACAAAGTAAAAATGAGCAACCACCAGCGTTTAGATGATGGAATGGGGAGTCTAGAGGCAGACCAATCGCAAGTACAGATATGCAGAGAGCTTAATTTAATGCCCAGCGTCATGTGTAAACTATGGAAACAGTTCCAGGATACTGGATCTAACAAGAGAAAGCCTGGGCAAGGTTGTCCAAGAGCCACGATGGCCAAAGATCGCTATTTGTCCATTTTAGCGAGGCGTAACAGAGGGGCTACAGCTTCTCAGCTCTCTCGGGACTTGTATGCAGCCACAGGAACCCATGTAACAAGGGTGACTGTTTCCAAAAGATTGAATGAGAGAGGGTTGTTTGCCAGAAGACCGGCTATTTGCATCCCGCTCACGTCTACGGACAGGACAGTTCGATCAGCATGGTGCGGGCAGCATAGTGATTGGAGTACGGAGCAATGGGCGACCGTTCTGTTCACCGACGAGTTGCGTTTTAGCCTAAACACCGATTCTCCCCGTACTTTCATATGGGACCCGCTATCTACCCTCCAATGTCCGCGAAATCAACAATTATGGCGGTGACGCTGTAATGGACTGTTTAGGCATCATATTGAATGACCGCACACCTTTCCACGTCTTTGACAGAGGCTCTGTGACTGGTGTGAGGTACAGGGATGAGGTCTTGGAGCCCTATGTTTGCCTTTTCCGGGGCGCAGTGGGCCCGAGTTCATCTTAATGGACGATAACGCGAGGCCACATGAAGCTCTTTTGGCCGATGAATATCTCGAGAGTGAGGATATTCTCCGTCCAGCCAGGTCTCCAGACCTCAACCCCTATAGAGCATGTCTGGGAAGCTCTGGGAAAGGGCAATTGCAACTCGCAACACCCTCCAAGAACCATCCAGGAACTGAAAAGAGCGTTGCTGAGTGATTGGGACCAATTGCCACAGGCACTGATAAACTGCCTTATTTCCAGTATGACATCACGCTGCGAGGCCTGTATGGCTGAAAGAGGGGACCATATCCCCTATTAACTCGTTTCTTTTGTGCATTCGGCAACAGCTGTTTCAGACCTTCAGACTCCCATAAGTGTACACACGAACATGTATGTCTAATAAAACTGTTGAATGTTTATTTTGTTTGTATGATATCAACCTATGTTCACACTAAATTTTATTAAAATCTGTCCAGTAGTTCTGGAGATCGGGTAGATCAAACATGAAAATTCTCTTAATTTCTTCCACCAGTGTATTTTTCTCTTCGCCCTTTCTAATATAAGATTTGAAATAATAGCAGAATTTTAGGGAAAAAAATTCAAGATTATTTAATGATCGCCTTAAAAAGCAGGATGTTCAGGATGAGTAGCTATAAGCTTAAGTTTCACGATAGAAAGTGCTAGCTCGAGGGTACCTGGGCCGAAGGCCCTTACCCTTACCGAACAATTTGGGTATTTTTTAATTTTGTAAAACATAAGGTAAAAACAATAATTTTAACAATGATTATATATTGAAGCTAGGAAAAGTGCAAGAATTTAGACAAAACATTAACTATGCGTGAAACCAGTCGAAGGAGTGAAAATGCCAAACATCTGGGAAGTTGTTAGAGCTGGGGATATGAAATGCTGTAAGAGAGCTGTTTTTAATACATGAAAAATATGAGACAGTACGAAACATTCGGTTCCATACAGGGTTAGGAAGACATCCTAATCAGTGTTAGCAATCTGACGGTTAGGCCGCCTTTCCACCTTTTACATTAATCTTTAGTTTCTTGGATATAATTATTTTCATTCACTTGCTTCATTATCTCTAAGATGCCCTTGTTTCAGT